AGAGAGCTGTCTGCTTAGGAACCCACTCCTAGATAATTCTGCAGACCTGGGCTTTCATCTGCTCTCCATATGTAAAATGTCAGTACTATTTCATCTCACATAGTTGCTATGGGACAAATGAGAGAAAAAAACATTCAAGATACTACTTCCACTTGAGCAGCTATTATGTACAAGTCCCCTTTCCAGAAGTTAGGATTTATGTATCAAATAGAAAATAATGACATATCAATTCCATGTAAATTTCCTACTGAATTTTACACAGGCAATCCATCCAAAACCTCAAGTTTAACATAGTATCCAGACCACTAATAAAAATACTGAGAATACTGTGAATATCAACTTGTGATTTAAAAAAGACTAGAGTTTGAATGTGGCATTACAGAATCACAGAATCATCTAGGTTGGAAAAGACCTTGAAGATCATCCAGTCCAACCATTAACCTAACACTGACAGTTCCCAACTACACCAGATCCCTCAGCGCTATGTCAACCCGACTCTTAAACACCTCCAGGGATGGGGACTCCACCACCTCCCTGGGCAGCCCATTCCAACCCCTAACAACCCGTTCTGGAAAGAAATGATGCCTAATATCCAGTCTAAACCTTCCCTGGTGCAACTTGAGGCCATTACCTCTTGTCCTATCACTTGTTACTTGGTTAAAGAGACTCATCCCCAGCTCTCTGCACCCTCCTTTCAGGCAGCTGTAGAGGGCGATGAGGTCTCCCCTCAGCCTCCTCTTCTCCAGACTAAACACCCCCAGTTCCCTCAGCCGCTCCCCGTACGACCTGTGCTCCAGACCCTGCACCAGCTCCGTTGCCCTTCTCTGGACACACTCGAGTCATTCAATGTCCTTTTTGTAGTGAGGGGCCCAAAACTGAACACAGGAATCGAGGGGCGGCCTCACCAGTGCCGAGTACAGGGCTCAGATCCCTTCCCTGTCCCTGCTGGCCACGCTATTGCTGACACAAGCCAGGATGCCATTGGCCTTCTTGGCCCTCTGGGCACACTGCTGGCTCCTGTTCAGCCGGCTGTCAATCAATCAATCCCCCCAGGTCCCTCTCTGACTGGCAGCTTTCCAGATTACATTTCATATTGTATTATTATATCAAAGTTTAGCCATTGAGTTATCTGAAATTACAAAGATAGAGCTAAACATAAGGGCAGGCAAATTCTGGCATTTTTAAAGTAGCATGCTTGAGCATTTAGCCTTATCTTCAGAAGGTATGAAGTGTACCTGAGTTTTCTTTAGTGAAAGAGCAGATATTCTACCTTGCAGAACCACAGGTTCGGCTACTTGCAGCATTCAAGTGGTATATGACTTCACTATTAAAAGCAAAAATTGACAGAACTAATATACACCAGGTACTACAGGGTGCAAGAGACATTTTACCAGGAGGTCTCAAAGCAGCAGAAAATACAGCGGTGCAAGGCAAAATGGATTTTTTTTTTTTTTTTTTTTTT